CAGTTTTTATAGTTATTTTTACATTAAAGTATCTTTAAGAATTTCATACTTGACTACTGTACATCTCTCTCTCTCTTTTTCCTCCAACTCCTCCTGTGTCTTCTTTCTCAACTGCATGACCCTTATCCAAAATTATTGTTTATATACACATATGTATAATGTAATAATTATCTATATAATTATCTATATAATATAATATATAATTATCTATAATAATAATATTATAGAAAGTGTATCTGTTTCCATTTACTGTTGCTTGTATGTATATGTGTTTAGGGGTGACTAGTTGACTAGCATGGAAAAGGAAGTCCCAGAAGGGTGTGCCTGGAATGATTCCATTCCAATGATGTTCAAAACTGAAACCAAATTTCATTTGGGCAAGACCACATATATGATAAAATATTTAACATTAAGAAAACATTACTACACCAAGCAAAAGATATGGTTGAACTTTGTTGGGGAGGGAAATCAATATTATAAGCAGGTGGCAGGTCACTAGTACTGGGTTAATAGTGAGGACAAAAGCGTTTAGTCTAAACTGGACATGGTAGCTCATGCCTTTAATCGCAGCACTTGAGAGGCAGTAGCAGAAGGATCTCTGAGTTTGAGGCCAGACTGGTTTACACAGAAAGTTACAGAGAAGTCAGAAATACATAGTGAAACCCTGTCTCAAACAAAATTTAAAAGTGTTCAGTTGATGATTTTGCTTTGTAATGCATATGTATATTCTTTAATACGGAAAATAATATATTAAAGTAATATATTTGATTTTTCAGAAATCTGCCTGAATCTTCGAGATCCTCCAAATAACATAGTTATCATTCCAGAAAAGCAACTGAAACCAGATTGGAAATTACCAAAACTAACTAATCGATTTATTACAAGGTAAAATAGTTCCTCGTAAAAATCTCTTAAATATTATTCTTTACATGTCAGTAACCAGAATGTAATGAATTATATCTTATTCAAATCTACCCTAAAGTAAGCTATATCAATTGTTCAGATAGGTATTCTCATAGTTATTACTGAAGGATGTTTGCCACTGTTTAAAGATATAACACGTATTTAACAATTATATTTTTCAGATCAGAGCTAGAGGAAATGCCAGAAAAAGCCACCTGTGATATAATTGGTGTGTTAGCCTTTGTGGGAAGGGTGCAACGGTCAAAAAAGAAAGGTGAACTTTTAAATTTGAAAGTGTCAGTGAGTGTTTCAATGTGAAGAGTCTTGTGTTCATATGCATACAATGACCTTCATTTATTTTACTGTTCTATCCACACAGATCATGGTGAAGATTTTTGGTCATATCGCTGGATTTCGCTGGATTCACATTGCTGATGGGACTTCAGAGCAACCATTTATAGTGCAGCTGTTTTCTACATCTCAGCCAGAAGTCTTTGAAAATATTTGTCCATGTACTCAATCTTTTTATCTTTTTATTGTTAGAAATAGCAGTAAGGACTTTGAAATTGTAAAATGGTGACTGGAGTGATGGCTCAGTGGTTAGGAGCACTTGCTGCTCTTGAGAGGACCACAGCACACACATAGTGGCTCCCATTCACCTAT